TACGAGCGCCATTTTCGCTCGGCTTGCTGCTGACTAGAAATGTCGATTCCAAATGTCGACTTGACATGGCCACGAATTTATTTTCCTGTGATCTTGCGAGGGTTGCTAGTTGATGTGGAACAACTTTGCTGCACGACTCCGATGATCTATTAAACATACTGATCTCCACCCTTAAACGAAACGGAGCAAATTATGCAATTCACACAGTAAATTAACTCTTACAGGTATTTGCAGGCTGTCTGAACCAACCATTTACTGTATACGTGCATTCAAGCGCTGGGCGTCTCCAAGTCAGAGCTGAGTATGCCAGTGCGTCTCCAGCAGTTTCTCACAGTGGAAATGATGTCATCCATTTCAATGCCAAACGATTCAAGTGTTCGAATTTTGAAAAAGTCATCACCTTCCGATATGGTTGGATAATATAAAGTTTCAAAAATTATCAAGTTTACCCCGTTTCGTTTAAGGGGGGAGATCAGTACATAATAAACATAATGCAACAAATTAATAATACTTTCAAGGCTTTGATAATTATATACATAATACGTATAAATAAAACCTTGTTGTTGTGCGTAATCCCTTCGTGCCGTCGACCAATGCCCAAATGGTTCAAAGCATGGTTGTGGCTTAGGTCCATGGTCGAGATGAACACGCGACCACTTACGCTGACATGAAACGGACACGCGTCGTGTTTACAGGCCCACTTAGCGGCAGAGCTAGATCGACGGAGCTGCATGATACCAAAGCCGTGGGATAGCGCAATGTCATCGAGTGACTTTCGGAGGAACTCGAGCGTACCGAAATCAAACTCGGATTTGACGTTTACGATGCTGGATGGGATTTAGTCTGGAATTGCAGGGGGTGGCACTGTAAGGTGAAGCTCCACGGCCATGTTGAGGTAGTCTTCGCTGACATATAATTCCATGACAAGTGCAAATGGGGACGACAACCACGAATGCATCACTTCCGCATAAATATCCTTATCCGGTTGTATTGAATAGGGCAATTATCTGCG